CCGCCCATCTGGTATATCATACCACTCTGCTTAATTCCATGATCCACTGAAAAACTAATAGAGGAAAATACCCTATAGTTAGAAAATAGAGATGGCCTAAGGGACACAGGAAACTGCCCTTATACTGATGTGAGGCCATCTAGCTCAGTCTGATGTACAATGATGAGCAGCAGCTCTCCAGAGCTTCAAATCAGAATCTTTGGCAGCTGTAATCAAAGGTGGTAGCAACTGAACTTTGAGACTCTGCATACAAAGCAATGCTCTGCCTTTGAGTTGCAATCCTTCTCAAAGAGCAGGATTTGTTTTTAAAACACTACAACAAACTTCGGGAATATCTGAAGAGAATTAACAGAGGAATGTTCAATGATATGCAGGAAAGTGTTTATCAAATCAGCCATGGAATCACAGATAAGATGTGCCATGACACAAATTAGTAACTAGTGAAACTGTCAACTATTGGGAATATATTGTTACATTTGGAACATTAACATTGGGGATAAATGGTACCTAGAAATTACAAATGAATACACTATAAATGAATTTACAAATAGGTACAGTCGGCCCTCGACTTACAGATGGCTCGACTTACAGGCTTTTCGAGTTACAGACTTCTCTGGCTGCAAAATTTAGATTCGACTTGCAGCCAGAGAATCGACCTACAGACCAAAAAAAAAAAAAAAATCCAAACGGCCGGTTACGGATTAATCGGTTTTCAATGCATTGTAGGTCAATGGAGCCTCGACCTACAGACTTTTCAACCTGCAGCTACCATTCCAATATGGATTAATTCCGTAAGTAGAGGGTCCACTGTATTTACATTCCTACTCAGTTTCTTATTTTCATCTGATAATCTCAGGAAACAATCAGCAGAAGCTTCTAGTAAAGATTCTGTAGTGAAGATCCTGTCCTACATATGGGAAACATTTCACTTTTGGGTAGAGACAGCAAAATGAACAAAACAGCCAGAACTAGAAGAACAATTAGGTAGCTAGTTTGAATTAGTTGGTTCTGCTAAATTCCAAAGGACATTTTAAACTGCTGACAATTCTCACGAAGCAGCCAAAGAAGAGGACTGGCTTTGGCCTCAGGCACAGAACAGCGACCCTGGACTTACACTCTGTTGTACGTCATCCACTGCACGACTCTTCTCATCATTTCCGTTGTAATTCTGGATGGCTTCAGTGTATGTCCTAAGAAAAGTGTCCTTGATCTACAAGAAAAATTCAGACTGTGTGGTAAACTTTATTAGAGCCCTTTACAAAATTTCCCAGTGATCAAATTGTCAGCGATAATGAGTTCTCCATCTACCTACCCACAACAACAGGGAAATGATTTAAAAGACATGTATGATTTTTACACAAAGAAAAGGACAGAACAATTGTGTTCTTCCTGCCATTTCTCAGCAATGACAAAAGTTATCTTTCAACACTCAGTAGCCCTTTGTGTTAGCTTTTTTCTGCTGAGGGCTGTGAGTAAAACCCTCCATTCATTATGTGGAGGGAAGCATCAAGACATCAGATGCATCGTGTGGAAAAGAGAAGCAAAATTTGGCAAGGGAAGGGAGTCAAAGGGATTGGGCTGGCTATTCAAACATCCTGATGGTAACTTCCTACTTCATTTCTCTGAACTGATGAAGCTTTCCTAGGCAACTAAAAGAACTTGGCTGGAAAACACAGCCCCACAATGGATGCCTTCCGTTGTACCAGGCTACCATAATGCAAATGAGAATATGTGCAAAACACAGAATCTAGTTTCCTGTGTGTATCAGCAGTTTGTTTTGGTTTCAAGAAATACTTTAAACAATCCCTTTCTACAACTACAAACTCAAATCTGAAAACCCCTGGCCATGGGTAATTTCTGGTGAGATTTTATCAGAGCCTGGCTAGCTGGGGGCTTCTCGGGGTTGCCATCCCCCAAAAAGTAATGCTTGTCAGTTCTGGATTCGATGAAGATATCAGCATGCTAATATTTTCTGTGTCCTGCCCTGCAAAGTTCCTTACTTTGTTGGCCCAATTAGTAGGAGCAGAAAAGTATTTACTGTAAAGAAGCCACACATGAGAAGCTAGAGCCAGCCTGTTCATTCTTAACCAGGGCCTTGTTTGTGGCCCAGTGAGCCCAGGGGTGCTCGGGAACTGCCTGCCATCTACTGTACAGAGTCCCTGCCTTTTTTCCAAGGGCTCCACGCTAGACGGGAAAGCTTTGCATACATATCTGCCAACTGGCCAACAGAAACATAGTTGCCAGGAGACTGTGGGAGCGTGGCAGTCTTCACTTAAGTCCACCAGTTAAGTATACTAGCAGAAGTTCCTACTCCTCTCTGGCAGTCCGATCCTGGACTTTGGCCATTTATTCCTCCCTTTGAAAGCACTTGGAGGGAAATACATGTTTGTACTAGAACGGAAGGAGGAGTTGTGGGCTTTTTGTATCCACAGTTCTGCTATTAGTATTATTTTTGGGGAACGGGGGACTTTTACTCTTGTATTTGTCATTGTGTAAATCTGCAGTTTTTGTCTTTGTATCTATGGTTCAGTTACTGGTGTTATCTTCAGGTGAAAGGGCTTTCTGAATGTTGTATTCATTGCTCTGTAAAATTACCATTTTCTTTTGTGCCAGCATCTGTTAGTTATAGGGGAAGATAGGTTTGCACACAGAAGCAGATCCTCGGTAAAGGTGATTCCCCTTTGGGGGACTGGCAGGGGTGTGCTCTTCTTGAGAGGGCTGCCACAGTCTCCCACAGCAAATGGAAGTGGGTCTTGGCTGAGAGACTGCTCGTCTGATACATGGATTGGCTCCTCATGTTGTGCCAAGGATATTCCTCCCTAATCAAAGAAACTGAAGCCTTTTATCATCCATCTCTAATTGCAAACTGCCAATAACCTATTGAATTGTAAACATTGGTTTGGTCTAGCCATCTGCACAGGCTACACAACAGGATAATTAAGAGCATACCACATCATGCAAACAAACAAACAAACAAACAAAACCCAGAAGCTGCTAGCCTTGTACTAGAAAGGAGGGAAACAGCTCTTAAATTCACAGGATGGGTCAATCTAAATAGAAATACAGTATGTGTGGGCAATGCAGTTTGATTCAAACCAAACCATACCAACAACAATCTATATATCAGTGTGGGCAGGTTTTGAACAGCCATCTGTCAGACCTTCTTTGATTTGGATCCTTGTATTGAGGAAGGGTTTGGACTCGATGGTCTTGTAGGCCTCTTCCAACTCCATTATTCTATGGTTCTATTTTTGGTGGTGCTGGCCTGTACAACAAGCTGTCTTGCTTGGGTCTGCAAAAGCTGCTTCATTTACATCCTTTTTACCAATTTTCTCTATTAAATTCACTACCTTTAAGCTACTATAGGGAAGACTTCAGGTGTTTTGCTCTGTTTTTTTAAATTCAATGCATAAAAGGTAAAGGTAAAGGTTCCCCTTGACAATTTTTGTCCAGTCGTGTTCGACTCTAGGAGGCGGTGCTCATCCCCGTTGCCAAGCCATAGAGCCAGTGTTTTGTCCGAAGATAATCTTCCGTGGTCACATGGCCAGTGCGACTTAGACACGGAACGCTGTTACCTTCCCCACCAAAGTGGTCCCTATTTATCTACTTGCATTTGCATGCTTTCGAACCGCTAAGTTGGCGGGAGCTAGGACAAGCGATGGGAGCTCACTCCGTCGCGTGGATTTGATCTTACGACTGCTTGGTCTTCTGACCCTGCAGCACAGGCTTCTGCGGTTTAGCCCGCAGCGCCACCACGTCCCTTAAAAATTCAATGCATGAACAATCCTAAATTTAAGCTGCCTTTCTCTTAACTGAAAAATACATTTTAAAGCAAATGGATCTTCATTCAAATGTACCCTGTGCTTCCTGGAATCAGTGGCATTTGACATAGGGAGACAAAAAGGTATGGGAAATGCCAGTTCATAAAAGAACTACAACTTCACTAAATGGCACCATACTTCTAAACCATGAATCCCTACCTAGGTTCATGAATATTTTTACACAGTAAAGTGACATGGGAGCTTAAATAGGGATTTCAGGCAAATGCTTATCAACTTCTGCTGCATAGCAATTGTGCAGGAGTAACCACAAGTAGAACTACTGCCTTTTAGACATAACCAAACTTGCCTAGCAATAATCACAATCACATCACCTGCATCATAAGACAATGCATGAGACAGCTAAAAATCTGAAGATATGTTCCAGTTCAAATGCCTCAAGAATCTGAACTGCCCTCCTTAAATTCCAGAAGACCATGTCTCCCTATGGAAAATTCTCATGTTGGTATTGCCATTCAAAATAAGTAGTCACTGCCAAAAAAAGTATTCTGAAACTCTGAAAAGGATATGTTTTAAATTTGTGACTTTACAGGTAAATCAAACGAAAAACTTATTAACACTAGAATTTCCACATACAATTTTGGCCATGCTTCAAAGAGTCTGAGAACAACAACTCTCAAAAGGAGGCTTTTGGATTTCTTGGACTGCAGCCTCCCCACTTGACACATAATAAACATAAGGCACCTTTCAAAAGTAGCCTTTTTATAGCCCATATAGTGATCTGCTTTTTAAAGAAAGTCCAGTTTAAAAAAAAATCCAGTGAAAATAGCCAAGTCCTTAAGTGCACCTAAAATAACTTTCATCCTTTTCCCTTCCTAATGTTATTTCCACCAAATATTGTTTCAGTTAGACACTCTTCAAATATTCTTATGAAAAATATACTACAATATGTATGGAATGGTTGAAGATACATAAATTGCTTTCTTATTTCATAGTGCTTCCCTAGCCCAATTTTTTCCCCTCTTTCTGATTCTAGCTTTGCTGCCACTTACTCGCACAGGGATAAATACGATTTACAAAGCAGGAAAGCGACTAGTTTAGTTTGGCTTTGCATTCTTGGAAATCCTCTCTGCATTATACAATCAAATGCCCGTCCAGCTGAAGTAGTACCATTTATGTAAAGAATTTAAGCTATTTTGCTGTCTTCAGCATATGTAACAGGGTAAAGCAGATCTTACATGATGAACATATAAAGAATTCGGCTCCAAAGTAAATACTGAACAGCAAAAGCCTGCAGCTTTAGCTAAATCCTTTCATTTGGAATGATAACAGGTTTTGGAGACTGCACATCTTGCTGCCAAGTAAAACAGCTGCATCACCCAGAATGCATATGGAACTGCTGAACTTGGCAACTGCTGAACTAGATAATAATATCCAGTACCCTAAGAGACTTCAGCAAAAGCTGCTCAGAGCCATATTGTCACCACCTTTATCAACAAGTAATTTATACTTACCTCGTGGCGAAATACAAAGCCTGAAATGCCAGCCACTAGTTCAGCCAGGAAGACCAGAGACAGGAACATAGCATACTGGAAGACAAGAGAAAAGCAAAAGAGATAATTCAGTCTCACAGATATAGCCTCAGGGAAAACAGCATTCATCTCATCTGGATTTTTGTACTTAAAACGACCACAACACTGACCCTAGTCCTAATTCTCTGCTGCAAACCCACCCTTGATTTGAACAATTGGCACTGTATGGGATTGTAACCGACACCAAATCATCACAAAATGCAATGCTATGAAGGTAACTGTTTTTGAAACTGCCAATAAAGAACATGCACAAAGTAATTAGAAGAAAGATAGTTGGGGGGGGGATCTAGCTGCCAAATTATTAAGAAGTTGCCTCTCTCTCCAAAATTATAGCGATACAAAGCAGGTACTGTGGAGAAAAGGTAGAATAGGTGCCCTCAATAAGTGCTGTGAAAATAATGTATTGCAGTGAACCCTGGATGTTTCCAGTATGAAATTATGTTCTTGAGGTCCACTATAAAACAAGCAAGCAATGATCCAGAAATATTTAAATCTTTTAATAAAGTAAGCTATGTGGATCCATCACTTACAATATTTATACATACTCTGTGCAAGATATTATCCATGCCACAGACTAAGGCTGCAACTCTACAGGCGCTCACTTAGGAGTACATCTTCACTGAAGACATGGGTAGTTTTTTTTACTGCACATCACTAATATATTTGGCTGGTTCAGATGTAATGCTAAGCCACATTTTAATGTTATAAGAATGACCTTCAGGTGCACGTGCTCTCCTCTCCTCCTCTGGTGTAGCTCTGAGGAAGGGTTTAGGAGTGTCTTGTTTCCTTCTGTGAAGCTTTTGTCCTTCAGACCCAGCCAGTTTATCAGAATTATGCTTCATGGAAACAAGTCCACCTCCAGCAGTGGTTACAGGACAACCTGTTTCCCCCAACTTTAGTTAACATTAATAACATTTTAGCTAAGCTGCAGCAAATCGAAGAGAAAAGGGGATGCTTCCAATCTCCTCCAGGGCAGCTGCATATAAAAATGGTAGGGGAGAGGAGGCATGCCTCTGCAAGGCTGACTCATTGTACAGTTTTTGTGTTAACTGCCTGAGTAGATACGTTTATTTTCAGTGCAGCCCTTAAAATATGTAGAACGTACTTTAAGGCATTTTTCCCTCTAGCATCTGTTAGGGCTTCTTCTATTCTAAGCCCCTCCGAAACCTCTCCCTTTCTCGGCAATACTGCAGATCAAGGCCACTTTGCATTTTTCTTTCAACACATAGCTTAATCAGTGTGCTGAAAAAGTATGCAGACAGTCATGTGTGTGTGGATGATGGCACAAGACACTCAGGTACAAATACTGAGAAGTCAATACGTATAGGGTCACTTTTATTTGTTTCAAACACGTTTGACATCCTTTTATTTATCAAAACTCTCAAGCTGGGACACAACAATGGAAAAGACCCTCAGTCCCCAGTGCTGGAAAGTAATTGCAGAAAAATCAGTAGAAACTGAAGTTTCAGCTTAGCGAGGCCAAGCCCTGTGCAGTGGTCTCTCTGGCCCAGCTGAAATTGGAACCTCTCTGGGCAGCTCTGGGTGTGGCCAATCTGGGGTGTCCAATCAGTTCTCTTCTTTCTTATCTCTCTCCTCCTGCTCTTCCTCTTCAAGGGCCTGGAGTCAAGGGAACAGCTTGACTCCAGACCTCAGAGGGACCGTCTCACACCCACATACACCTTCATTTAGATGATCATTGGGATTTAAAAAAAAATATATAAACCCAAACTTGTGCCTAATGGGTCAACAAAGTTGCCTCATAGTACATGTCTTTCTAGTTTTTATCAATTTTTCTCGTTATTTTCAAATGTTACAAAGGAGACATGTGCTTCTGGGAACACAATTTCCTTTCTTTTCTTAAAAGAAAAGAAAAAAAAGAACAACAGTAACAATAAATGCCATGGTACTAAGCATTTCTTTGTGGCCCCCTGAGATCGATAACATCAGGCAGGGTACAACAGTGGTCTGTGGACAGTGTGTTCCCCACTCCTCTTACACAACCTTGAAGTCTACTCTGAAAAGCAAATCAAAAAGGATAACATGCAGGTTATTTTCCCATCAGTTTAAAAAGAAGAAGAAAAATAAATGTGGCGATGTTGGTTGGGACAGTAATTTCTGTCCTTCAGAGGTGTTGTGAACATGAAGAAGAGAAAGGAACTATTATCACTTGCTCTGAGCTTTACACATACTGCTGCCCTGAAATTATAGTGCTATGCTATCTTATGGGCTTTGTTGTTTTATACTACGTTCTGCTGTTTTATTGATTTTGTATTTTTATTGGGTTTGACATTTTTATTGTGTTTTTGGAACTTGCCTTGTAAATTTTTCTGACTCTGCAAAGGCAGGATATGAACAGTGTAAATCCCATACATGAATTGATAAAGAGTGCTCTAAATCAAAACAAGTGGGATTTTTTTGTGGCCAGATGGATCTTTTCTGCTGAAATATCTATTCTGCAAGAACTCATTCAAGCACGACTCATCAGTACCCTAGCATATGCATTGCTTAAGTACATGTCTTCATATGAACAAGACTTTAAGGTATGATTCAGTTTAGGTATCACTGTCACCTAGAGTGGTCGTTTGACTAGATAGGCGGGGTATAAATGCAATAAATAAATAAATATCACTTAAATTGGTTATTTTGTTTAATAAAAGTGTGCTGAAGATCTGTCATGATTTAATCTTCAATAAACAAGTTTTATAAACAAACATTAATTTTTATTCAAACACACTTAATAGAGAAGACATTTAGGAAGCATTCTAATCATAAATATGCTATTTTTCCAAACAGTGAAACCAATTACTCTTGTATAAAAGGGATTAGCTTTTACAAAATTGTCACAATTTCCAGGGTCACATGGAAACCATATATGCATGTGCAAGGCTTTCTACGGAGTCTTCTCTGGAAGATGCTGCCAGTTGGCTCACTACTGTCTTGTGAGATTCTCAACTCACTCAAGCAAACTAGTTGGGAGGTGGTGCAAAGAAAAACTTGGAAAAAAATCTGCCAAGATGCACATGTTGCTCTATTCTGCCTAGACCTCAGAACCACAGCCACAACTTTTGTGAACTAGCAGGGGTAACTCTGCTAGCCCAAGGAGAACTATTTGGGGAAGTCTGTGTTTGTTTACTTTTAAAAAAACTTATTAAAAACACTCTGGCTATTCTACATGATTTGTTTTTATATAATAATATAATATAGGAGGAGAAAAGAGTAGAAGAGTGGAGAAGAGAAGAAGGAGGGGGGCATAAAGTGAATAATAAGAAGGTAGCTACTCTGTCTTGTTTTGTATGTGAGTATGCACCTGTGTATTATGTTTGAAACCTAGTTAACTTGAACTGGGCCACTTGACCCATTTTCAGCCATCTCACATACTTCTGTGACATACTCACCAGTTTTAACATCCATGGGCTACCGCGGCATGTTGCGAAACACCCAAACAGTCCGAAGACAATAATTGTGGTACCTGTCCCGATGAGAACATATGGGGCATTGGTGGAATTTTCAGCAATAAGAGAGATATAGGTGCCTAAAGTCAGCTTCCCCCAGACACCAACAGCAAGAAGGATAACACCGGTTATCTGGAAAATAAGAAGCATTAAAAAGAGAGATGGTCAGAGATTATAAAGATCTGTTTATGATAATATTCAACATACCAACTTTTGAAATCTTAACATAATTGCTATTGTGACAACAATAAGAATAGGGGTTTTTTTTAAAGCTCAGCATAAGCTCATTGGGAGCCTGTAGCAATTAGCACCAAAGTCGCATGGCAAATAATATGAAACCTCTGGAAAGCCCATTTTGAAAATAAAGTGTCCAATATACTCATAGACCTCTATATCTCATTCTTTTGGTACCTTCTCCTCAATGTTTTTGTAATGTCATTTATACATCCAGCTGACATGAATATGGAAGAATAATTAAAGGTACTGTACACTTAGTTCAAATCATGTTAAACACTTCTGATGGAAATTAGTATTAAACAATGAGAGTTTAAGATAAAATATGAAAATCCTTTAGCACTCCTGACTTTCAGGATAAGGTAAGTTCAAACCTTTCCTTAAATTATGTGTGGGGAAGAAGCTATGTGGACTCCCACCATTTGGGAAGATTTGTCTCTGTGCTACATAGTGTAAGAAAATTACCTGAACATGTGGCGTTGTTCAGTGTTAAACATTACATCCTAATGCTGGTACAGAGCTAGAAGAACATAATACACATTCTGTAGTGACATCTAGTGGATACAGGAAGTTAAACCATTTATACAGGTACACACATTTGCAGAGACTGTCTACTTCTACAATGTTGTTTATACACAGGTGTTTGTAGTAACAAGACAGACCTATCAACAGGTAAACCTGGTATGTCTCCACCCTTGGATAAAACCCTTCTCTGATTCTCTCACCTTAACAGACTGCTGTGCTGCTACAATCTACTTCACCTACAAATACATCATTCCATTTCCCTTTAAAAATTTTATTTAACATGACATGAAACTGAATGACTTTAACGAACTACAGTGTCAGGTCTAATTATTTACAATAAGGTATGAAGCACCAGAAAACCTTGGAGGGCTGGCAAAGCCGCCTTTTCTCAGTAACAGCCCCCACCAAGCATCAGACATACTACTTTATATTTATTAGCAGAACAATTAAAAATTTTTTTTAGAAACTGAGAAATGGAGGGGAGCTTTGTTACTCAAGGGTCTGAGTTACAAACTCCTTAAGTCCTGCCTTTTGCAGCTGCATTTTGTTTTGGAACTGACACTTTACTGCCCAATCTCACCTAAACTCAAATACTGAGTTTCTAATTTAGGTATCAATCATTATAATGACTTCATTCATTGGCAAAATACAGTGAAAGATGGGTGAGCCTATTTTTTTCAAAACACCTGGGCAGAAGAGTACCTGCACATTTTGCTTAGTAGTTCTTAAAGAGCTAAATATTTGTGGGGTGGAATTTAAAATAAAATTAAAGCTGGGAACCAGGAAATCATGTATCAATGAGGGAACCAGGCTACTGGTCTCTGTTTTTACCTAGAAAGATTTAATTCCTGTTAACCATGGAAACATATTTTGAGCTGTCTTACTGAACATGTTTTAAGCCCAAGTTGTGCAGGCACAGTAGATATGTACACAGTTTTGTACCCACTTTTTCCAGTACTCACGTCTAGCAGAGTACAGTCATTCTAAATCTTGGCTTCATCTCATAGGTATAAATTTCAGAATAAAGTAAATGAATTAGTAAAGTTTAATGTGCAAAATACACATATGCAAAATATGTACTTTTAAAACATAGAGGCAGCAACTCTCCATATTTCCTTGGTTTCATAGCCATTTTGTTATAGCTTCTTTTACAAACCCTAGTCTGATTGCTTTGATGCAGAAGAGAAAATCTTAGAATAAAACATTTTAATTCAATAAATAATTGTCTCTAATAAAGATGACTGGTAGTGCTGCAGATCAACACCAGCAAGAAGCTTTTATAAGGGGAGTATTCATTAGATCTTTGTATGTTTTTCTATAAACACTGAACTGGGGAGAACCTGAACACTTCCATGACAAATTGTGTAATTCAACACAAATGTTGCAGCCTTTCCCAATTTTATTCATGTAACAATAACAAAAAACAACATAACAAAAATAAGCCCTGGATCAAATGCTTGAACAATGTTTGTGCAACTCCTGGTTGCACAAAAGCTGGTTATTCAAGCCCAGTTCCAGCCCTCAACAGCTATCAGAGGCTGGAACTGCACTGATGAATGCCTTCTCCTTCTCCACCAAGGCGCTGCATAACTACAACAGTGGGATTTTTTTTGCACTGGCTCTCCACCTTTGTGATCACATTTCATCTTCTTATCAGATCTACAAAGTTTACTTTATGAGGGGGGAAAGGATGGGAGTCCTGGAGGACACAGAGGACAGAATATTTCTGTTCTTCATGTCTAAAATAGAACATACTCCTATCAGCAGGCATTGATTCTGGCAAGACCTGAGTTTTCCAAACTAGAGCCTTTTTGATCTCTACTAAATGCCAGGAAACAGGCCTTCTTGACTTTGACCTGACAACTCAATCCAGCCTTTAGCCTGATCTGAGTCACACTGTTAAGCTAAATTCTGCTTTATGGCAGACCCATGTGCCATGTTCAGTAGAATAAGCCACAATGACACATATATCTCCCAACACCATATTAGTAAAATAGATTGTCATAGCAAAAGTAATATATGCTATTATAGTGCAGCATACTAGTGCTGAGCTTACAGCTATTAAACGAAAGCAACTAATCCAGAAAGTCATAATGAGGTGGAAGTAGAAAATGTATTTTAATGGTTTCAGGTAATCCATTTGGAGATAGCGCAGGAGGAAAGAACTCTCAAGTTAGCTATAGAAACTGCTAAAGCTGGCTTCCATGCATGATTGCAAAGTGATTGCTGTTATTAAAGAGATCTCATGTGCTACTTACTACTAACAAAGGAGAACAACTTTGCTGACTTTGAGGGTTAAGTGAAAACAGGGTGTTGTGGTGGCTTTAAGCGAACAAGTTTTATTTGGCACATACTTTTGTGGACTGCCGCCCATTTCATCAGATGCATCTAATATCTACTCCCTAAATAAAGCCCAAGAATCGAAATCTGCATGTCAAGAAGAGGTTACTTAGAAAACCAGAAAAGATCCCTGAGCCCACCTAACTGTATCTATTCCTCCCAGCTCCCAGAATTTTTTTACAAGAGTTGGTGATTTAACCTTCATTGTGGGGAAAGCTTGGCTTAGCGTTTAAAATCACTCCTACTGCAAGTAGAACCAGCTAAACTAGTGGTTCCCAATCTTGGGTCCCTAGACGTTCTTTAGAGTACAACTCCCTGAAGCTCTTGCCAGCGAAGCTAGTGGTGAAGGATTCTGGGAGTTGCGATCCAAGAATGTCTGGGAATCCAAGCCTGGAAACCACTGATAAACAAACTATAGACTTTCCATGATCCACAGTATGTTTGCGGTGACGTCTGAATCCAACAATCTGATTATAAATTAACAACCTAAATAGGAGGAGCCTCTAACATTGAGTGATGGATGGCATGTGTTTATATTTCCACCCTAGAAATAGAAATTTTTTGGCTGCACTATCCAAAAAATCTTGGTACATAGCATGAAGAAAATGTCGAAAGCTAATAAATATACAGTGGACCCTTGACTTACAGACGGCTTGACTTACAGACTTTTTGAGTTACAGACTTCTCTGGCCGCAAAATTTAGGTTTGACTTGCAGCCTGAGAATTGACTTACAGACCAGAAAAAAACCAAAATGGAACAAAAACGGCCTGTTACGGGATTAATTGGTTTTCAATGCACTGTAGGTCAATGGAGACTTGACCTACAGACTTTTTGACTTGAGAACCACCTTCCAATACGGATTAAGTTCTCAAGTCAAGACCCCACTGTATCTTCTGCTCTTATATTTGTATCACTGCTCAGGTTTGTTTTATTTCAGTAAATCCATTGAACTAGGAATTTGGGATAACTTCCTATGTAATTGAGATCTGAACAGTCCAAAGCATCCAAATCATGGATAAGATCTACTGAGTGTTGTAGGTAAGCACAAAAATTAAACTATGGTATCATTTTAAAAGTTTATAAAACAACATTCATTTACTATTATGTTACTGGGTTCTAAGATTCTCCGGCAAGGAATCAGGTACAGACGCAACAGCTGAACCAAAGACCCAATTTTATTTGAATAGCAGGAAATAAAAGGTCAGCTGGGACTTCTCTTAAAAGCAGAGAAGACTCTGAAAATACTTTTACTTTACTTTTACTTTATTTTATTTGGACTTATACCCCGCCCCTCTAGACAAAGTCTACTTGGGGCGGCTTACATGAGTGATAAAATAAAATAAAATAACATACATAATAATAAAACTTACTAACTGATGCTTATGTGTACATGTGTACAGTGTGCATATGTTTTATAATGATACAAACAAAACATCATAAAATGCTACAATTCTATTGCTCATTTGTACCCCAAGTTTGGATCCAGTCCCTTATTGGGCAGTGATGCCAACTATGCAGATCTCATCCTGATAAAATAAAATAAAATAACATACATAATAATAAAACTTACTAACTGATGCTTATGTGTACATGTGTACAGTGTGCATATGTTTTATAATGATACAAACAAAACATCATAAAATGCTACAATTCTATTGCTCATTTGTACCCCAAGTTTGGATCCAGTCCCTTATTGGGCAGTGATGCCAACTATGCAGATCTCATCCCATTTTCATAGGCATCCTTCAGTCTCGAGAGACTATGGTAACATGCTCTGTATGGAGGACTTTGACACTGTATGCAAAGCTGGAGTGTCCTCTCCAGAGCACGAAGCCTGGGTAAAATAATATGGAGGATAGGCTGTTACCCAAGCAGCAAATCCCCCCCTCTCCACGTTGCTGAAATAGTCCAATGGAAACGCAAGAGCCAATACAATTGGTTCCAGCGACGTTGCAGGAGTTGACAGAACGACACAAACTGCCTCCGGGACTCTGGCTCCGGATTATGCCTTGAGGTTAACTCCTGAAGCCTT